TCCACAAATTGGGATACTATTTAGTTACCAAAACTCTGTAATTGACAATATAGATATCCAAAATGGAAAGACATTCATAAGATGGTAAGACCCCCCCCCCGAAAACAGGCTAGAAAACCAGCATATGTACAGCAAGATCTCATTTTCATTACCAAAAACTATATATGAATAGCCACAGGCACACACACACACGAAGGATCTGAAAAGGATGTACTCAGGCAATGAAGTTAGAGTATTTTACAGCTTTCTACTATCTACTCTTCTGTATTTCAGTTTTGCCATGTACAATAATTTTTTCAATGAAGAGGATACTAGCCAGGTGTGGAGCACAGTCCTACAATCCTAGCACTGTGGGAGGCTGAAACAAGGTCAAAAGTTGGAACCCAGCCCGGTCAACTTATCAAGACCCTGTCTCAAATTTTTTAAAAATAAAACGAAAAAGAAACTGGGTAGGGCAATACACACCTGTAATCCTACCACTCTGAGAGGCCAAGGCAGGACTGTAAGTTTGAGTACCCCCTAGGCAACTTAGCAACTTAGTTATACCTTGTCTAAAAATAAAAAATAAAAAGGGTTGGGATATAGCGCAGTGCAGAAGCCCTGGTCCAATCCCCAAAGTAATAAAATTAAACTGAAAGTGATCAATACGATTTAATTTTGTTGTTAAAACCTTATATTTACATAATATTTCATAGTTTAAGTATTTTTTGTTTTGGGGGGTTTTTTTTGGTACCGGGGATTGAATTCGTGTCCTTGCACTTGGCGAGGCAGACGGCCGAACCACTGAGCTAAATCCCCAGCCCCAGTTTAAGTATTTTTAATGTTTAATCTAGTTACCCAAATTTTTAAAACTACACATATTCAGTACCAAGAAATTAGCAAGACTTTTTAAAATCAATAAATTTTTACTTACTACCATAAAGAACAAAAATTAAATAAGTTAGCTTTTGAATTTCACAAACTTTTCTATACCCAATTCTTTACAATCAACATTAATCACAATTTATTAACTGGATGTGTCAAGAATTAGTGTAAGCACTTTTAAGTACTTAAACTTTTATTACCATTCTTTCCATTTTCCACTGAGAAGACTGAGGCATTGTTTCATTGATGAGATCAAAGTCACTAACAGCACATGGCCAAATCCAATATTCTCCAGAGTTTGTGCTTTTGACTATCCAACCCTCAACTACATAATAACCTGTCATTTATGGGGTCCATTGGTAGACTCTGAAAAAGGGGAGTAACATTTTATTAGTATGAAAAGTGAAATTAGAAAACATACCAACTGTGTGTATTTTCTGGAAACTAATTTTTATAGCATGATGTTGGGCTCATCAGAGCTTGCAAATGGCATTAACACAATAATAAATTATCTACCATTACACTGTTACTTAAGTTTACCTTTTGAGTCTCTAAGCACATTTAGCTAGCAGGCTTTTTTCCAGCTTATCTTGACCATTCTATTCCAAGGAAAGAGTACCTCCTTTCAGCATTAACCAAACTTCCAGAAATAGCTATGACATAGTGCTTGTCATCCTTGATTTATAAAATTAGTGACTACTCAGTGATGAGATTAATTTGACAATAAAGGCTTTATAACATGGCCCTCCTGCCATGTAGTTCACTCATCACTCGACAAATACTTAGTTCAGTTTCTGCAGGCACTGGGGATACTATGGTGAGCCAAAGTCTCACCGTTCTGAAGCATAAATCATATGTACAACTACATATGTGAAGCTCACAGCCAATAGTTTTTTTATTAGCAGCTTAAGGTATTAAACTTACTCCGCCACTTGAAAAACTTGCCATCCACTTGAGAAGAAAGCATGGATGGAGTTACTCCCCAACTTCACTGCTAAGGAGAAATTCCTGGAAAACGTTTTGAAAACAGCAATTCCAGAGCTCCTCCTCCAGTTGTTTGATTCTGAAGTGAGCCAAGAGAAACTTATTCTTTCCCAGTACTGAAGATTGAACCCAGGGGCATTCTGCCACTGATCTGGATCTCCAGCCATTTTTGTTACTTTATTTTTTATTTTGAGAGTCTTGCTAATAAATTAAATTGCCCAAGCAGGCCTTGAATTTGTGATCCTCCTGCCTCAGCCTCCCAAGAGCTAGATTACAGGTATGAGCCACCAGGCCTGGTTAAAAACCAGTATTTTTCACATGAATTTTAATCAGGATTATGTAAACAATCTCAGAGAAACCCAACTAGTAAGTGGAGCCATTAAGGAGAGAGTAATCATTCAAAAGTATAAGCCCATTGGGGTGTGGTGGCGCATGCCTGTGATCCCAGCACTCTGGAGGCTGAGGCAGGAGGATCACCATGAGTTCAGGACCAGCCTGGACTACACAGTGAGTTCAAGGCCAGGCTGAAATACATAGTGAGTCGCTATCTCAAAAAAAAAAAGTAAGCCAGACACAGTGGCACATGCCTTTAATCCCAGCTACTGTACTCAGGAGGCTGAGGCAGAATGAAAGATGGAGCCCTGCCTGGGCTATCTGCTGAGACCTTTCATAAAAAAAGGAGCTGGGTATGGTGGCATACACCTGTAATCCCAGCACTCTGGGAGGCTGAGGCAGGAGGATCACAACTTTGAGCTTACCCCGAGCAACATACCAACTTAGTGAGACCCTATCTCAAAATTAAAAAATAAAAAGGACTGGGGATGCAGCTCAGTGAGAAGGCCCTGGGTGCAAGGAGGCAGGCAGGCAGGAGAGCAACCCTGGGTTTAATCCCACTACTGCCAAAAAGAAAAAAAAATTCATCCAGCTTTCTGATCCTAAGGTTAGGTGACAGAAACCTGAATTTCTAACCTCAGGTAATGCTGATATGAGATCCGAATTCCAGACTTTGAGAATCCCAATCAGAAAGGGGAGCCATTCAGGAAAGAGCACCATTTGAAAGAGACCAGTTCTGGGGCAGTGGGATGTGAACTGAGTGATACAAACTAGTAATCAATTAATGAATTCTCTACAATTCACACATTTAGCTAATTAAAAGATAAATATGAAGCTAGGGATGTAGCTCAGTGGTACAGCACGTGTTTATCATCTTCACCCTGAATCAATCCCTAGCACTACCTAAAAAATCAACATGAGTATGAATAGAAGAATTTACCAATGCCTCTCCCATAATCTCTAACTAGAGCTTCGAGGGTGTGCGTCAATCTAGGCAATTGGGGACTCGATAAAACTACACAGAACTCTACAGTCAATATTAGAAGAATTAGGGAAAAGGAAACTGCCAGTCAACTGCAAAATTTTTTAAAAGTGCTGAGGGACAAACATTTCATGAAACTAGCTACCACTTATTTTACACCCTATTTCACAATGCTTAGTATCTGAACAATCCACAGGGTTCCAAAGTACATTTAAAAATCTGTTCCTCTCCAGTGGCACCGCGCCTGCCTCACAAGCGCAAGGTCCTCAGTTCGATCCCTGGTACCAAAATATTCTTTTTAGTACGAGCAACTTCCCACGGAAACAATATAAATGCTTCAACTAGTCAAAGAGAAAAAAAGGTAACAAAAACTGTTTTGTTCTAAGAGAGACAAGTGGAAGTAATAATAAGGGTGTTTAAACTTCTGTACACTGAAGCTTAAAGTCATCTAAAAATAAAGGCATCCCAATAGATACATTCGTCCAATTTAGGGGGTTTGAGTAGCACCAAGCAAACCAGCTGGCCTTGCTGGCTCCTGGCCCCGGTTCCTGCCCTCACATCCTGTCCACTACATAATCCATGAACTATCTCTCTGAGCCTTTCTCTTCATCCGTTCAACGGGATTAGTAAAGCTGCCTCCGCTGACCGATTTGAGATTTTTCCAGATACATCTATTTGTATGACATTTGTTTTTATTATCTATTTTTTTTCTTGGACTTGTTTTTATTATCTGTACATTTCTGACCACGGAAACAGCAAAAGAAGGATGCGAATAGAAAAGCACAAAGAACCACATCTGGCTGGAGTCTCCGTATATTTAAACGTTCAAGTTGTTGTGTTTTCTGAATAGCACCGACAATGATGGCAGGTGTTCGACAAAAACAAAGTTCGACAGGAAACTTTCATATTCAAGAAGTTATCAAAAATCTCCATAGTCTCCGACTCAACCCAGAAGCTGTGAATGTATTTCTTCAAAAGCAAAGTCTTACAGTCTGAATCACAACAGAAGATCTACCCATAGGAAATGTAATCTACGAAACTGTCTTCCGATCCAAAGGCAAACAAGTGAAGGAAGGTGCAGCCTATTCCTCCTTGCTGGTTTCCTTTTTTCTCGGAATTCGGATTACATTTCCTCATTCAAGCCAGAAGAGACTGCAATTGTGCCTTGGGTCCATACCAGAAACTCGAGTCTGTGCGAGAGGGGACCCAGGGGACGCGCTCACCCAGCAAGGGGAGCCGCTTTCTGTTAAATACCGACCGAGGCAGCCCCGGCAGCACGGCGCAGGGCCACAAGGCATTGATCGTCCTTCACTGACAGGATGGTGCAGGCACGCGGGAGACAAGAAAAGGGATGAGCCGGGGACTCGAGCCCGGCGACGGGCGGGCGGCGCGGCGCTGCTCCCCGCGGGTCGGGCTCCCGGGAGGCTGGCGAGGAGCGAGGCTGGGCCGGCCCGCTACCCTCCGGCGGCCGAGGGCAGCGAGGTCAGCCGCGGAGGGGCCGCACGCCCCGGTCCCCCTCGCTGCCGGCCAGGGCTGCGGACGCCCCTTCCACCCTGAGCGCGTCCCGAGGCCGCGACCCCCACGGCCAGCCGAGCGCCCCGGCCTCCGACGCCGGTCACTGGCCCCCCGCCGCCGCCGCCGCCGCCCGCGCCCCCGGGAGGATGGAAGGAAGGACGGGGCGGAGGGCGGCCGCTGCCTCGCCTTCTGAGCGCGCGGCGCGGCTGAAGGGCGGCGGGGGGACGGGGGCCCCGAGCGGCCATCGCGCCGACCCCCGCGCCGACCCCCGCCCCCGCGCGCCTCCCGCCGTCCAGGCCGCCGCAGTCAGCCCGCTCCTCACCTCATCTCCGCGCGGGATCGCGCTGCCGCCCCAAGCATAAATCAGTGCTGCTCACACGCCGCGGGAAGAGACGCAGGAGCCGCAGCCCCGAACACCATCCCCGCCTGCCCGTCCGCCCGCCTCTCTGCCCGTTCCCGAGCCCGCTAGGGATTCTCCCTCGCGAGCCGCCGTACTACGGAGCAACCAAGCTCGCTCCCACCCCGCGCTCCTCCACTCCTCTCTACCTCCTTCGCTCCCTCCCTCGTTCCCTCACTCCCGCCTATCTTCGCATCTCCCTCGGCGGCCTCCCCCGCCCCTAACCAACCCCCCGTCTCCGCCCACAGAGGGGTGGGGACAACCGTCCACCAATCATAAGAAAGTGACCACACCTCCTCGCCGCCCCTTACCTCTATCCCCGCCCCCTGTGGAAAAGAAAGGCGGAGAGCCAGAAAAAAATGGAGGGATACGGAGTGACAGCCAGAACAACCAATCAGCAGGCTCAGAGGAGACACTTTCCCGCCCCTTCTATTCCTTTTACCAAGAAAACTTAACCAGAGGTTTCTAGCCTGGGGCTTTACGAGATTTTTGTTCGGTGCATCTGCTTGTGCACCTGCTCTGCAAGAGAGTAGCTAAGATGTATTGAAGTTGAGGAAGGTTTTAAAGGAGAAAATAACGTGGAAACAAAAAGGGAGGCGGGGCACAGCCCGAGGAACATGTTCAGGGTCCGTTCTGAATGAGGAAGGGTGTGCCCTTTAACTCAAATTTGCATAAAACGGAACCCATCTTGGGCGACTCCAACTAGGTCCGTTTATTGGCAGCCTCTGAGGCGGTACCTCGTTCTCTCCCCCCCCCAGAGCGGAGCATGATGGGAGTTGTAGTTGAGTCCGGTTGCTATGGCGTCCTCTACAGCCATCCAGAGTCCGACCCTGCCCTGCAGGAGTGACGAGCTGCCTGACCAATGGGAGAACCCTCTGGGTCCGAGGGGGCGGGTTCTCTGCAGAAGGCCTGGAAGGTGGCGGTGGTGAAGGAGCTGGGCGTTGGGATTGCTACCAGGCAGGTGAGCCTTGGAAAGTGCCTTGTCTCTTATCAAGGAACGGGACTTAGGGGGAAAGATGGAGAGACGCTCCGAGGTACTATGTAGTCCTGGGGTAGGGGTGGTTCGCGTCGCACGGCAACCTGAGACCCGCTCGATCTCAGGCCTAGCTTGGCTGAGGCCACGGAGGGGCGGATGAGGCTAGATTTTGACGCGCAATTTCCTGGTCTTTCATAGGTGTTGATTGTAGGTTTTATTATCGTTTCCATCTCCTTTCACATTTATGGAGGCGAAGGTCTGTCCCCTTGGTTGAATTTTTCCCTCAGCTTCTGTTTGTGCCTGTTTGAGTTTATCTTTCTCCATTACTTCTCTGCAATGGTTTTCTCCCCCTTCGGCTTCCTGTTTTCGATTAGTAGCTACCTAAACCAAGGCTATTCGCATTTATATGGTCGCAGGACCAGATTTGCCCTCATCCTAAACTGTGTACCCTGGAATGTTCTGGAGCAATTCGTAAGAGTCGTCTCAGAACCATCTGCTGAAGTGCAGATCCTGATTCTCTAGGTCTGAACCTGAGAATATGCATTCTTAAATAAGCGCCCGGTGCCGCCAGGCCAGGTTAGACTTAACAAGGTTCTACTTCACCTCTGTCCAACAATTTGAGCCGCTTAAGTACTTTTGAATCTCCCTCACATTTAAAAAGTGAAAAAAAGGGGCAACCCACTTTCCAGTCCCTCTTCTGTCTCTCAGGCAGAAGCTCTCTCAATAAATTCTTCCTCCTCTTAAAAAAATTAAAAATAAAAAGTGAAAAAACCGTGAAATTTTATGTGTACATTTAGCCCAGCATTTCCAAAATACTATTTCAAATCAGAGCCAAATATTTTTAAAATGAAATATTGTATACATTTTTCCTATGAATTCTTACAAATCTTTTTCTTTTTTAAATTTTATTTTGATACTTTGCCCTCTGAGTCTTGTTTTTGTTGTCCAAATCTGATGTGCATTTTACACTTAAAACACATCTCAATTCTGCATCTTCTCTCAATTCTAACTACACACAGTTCAAATGCTTAGTAGCCACCTGTAGCTATTGGCGACTGTTATTCCACGTTGCGGATCCAAATGATATAATGGACCACTGTAAAATTAAAGGTGGTAAAAGTGTGGTTGCCTATGACCATCCCTTTGCTGCTTTGCTGTATGGGCTTCAAAACTACTTTTAAAGCTCTCTACCCTACTTATGGAAATAATAGTAAGAAATAATTAACATTTGTTGAAAGTCAGGTCTTGTAATGAGTGTTTTGCATATATTACCATCATCCTTGCAGCAGCCCTTGAAAATCTCTGAGGGTTCAAAGGAGGATCACTTAGGACTTAAATACGACAGTCACTACAACAGATAATACCTTTTATGACTAATTTCACTTCATTGATGCTTCTGCTCCAGCTTATGGCATGGGATGAGATGTTCAGATTTAAAAGAGTTCCCCATATAAGATCAATCCACTAGGGCTGGGGATTCAGCTCAGTGGTTCCAACGACTGCCTCGCAAGCGCAAGGTCCCGAGTTCGATCCCTGGGACCAAAAAAAAAAGACCCACCAGACATTTGTTGTGAAATATTTTGGTAATTTTACAGTGCCCCACGATGCTCATTTAAAATCAAAGTTCTGGGCCGGGAATTTAGTGCAGTGGTTTTGCTGTCTGCTGCACAAGCACAAGGACCTGAGTTCGATCCCCAGTACCAAAAATTAAAAATTAAAAAATAAAATAAAAGTTCTGAACTGAAGAAGTGAATTGAAAACTGGAGTACTGTATCCTGGGCAATAATAAGTCTTGATTCATTTTTGTACCTTCATGAAGAAAGAAAATGGGAAAGGTTGGGAATTCTTAAAATGCTTTAAGCAGGTGTGGTGGTGGCACCTGCTTTTAAGCCAGCATTCCAGAGGCTGAGGCAGGAGGATCACTGTGAGTTCAAGGTCATCCTGGGATAACACAGTTTTTTCAAGGCCAGCCTGAACTACCATAGCTAGACCCTATTCCAAAAAAAAAAAACTTTAAAAAAAAAAGCTTCACTATGGCATCACAGTGTTTTTTCTGGTTTTGTTTGTAGTGAACTTTTTTCTTAATGTTTCTTTGTCCTTATAAACTTCATATACACTATTTCAAAAAACAACTTTCTGCCCTTTGTAGGCCATTGAATAGTACTGCACTAAGCTAATGAGCTCTACAAGTAGAAGAGGAAGAATACATACTCATCCATAGTAAAATATGGTATTTTGCAATAGAATTTCTTCCATATTTATAAATTCATGTTACAAGATTTTTCTCTTGATTTTCAATTTTTTAGTAAATATTAATCAAAATTACAATTCATATTTTGTATTTAAACCAGGGAATGTCTTCTTAAGACCCTGAGGTGAATTGGAAAATTACAGTAAAAGTAAGATTATAATAATAGTGGGCAGAGACTTTCTGTCGGATGAGAGGCTCTGATAAGCGATCGGGGAGGGTCCCTCAGTCCCACCTGCATTGTCCCTGTGTCACCTGTAAAGCCACCTTACAGGGAACTTTATTCACCACATTGTTGACTCCTCTTCCCCCAGTAGCACAGTGTAGGAAAATATGATGCTGACTTAGAAATTTAAGTACAAATTTAAGTCTCTTTTGTTGTGGACAATACAGTATCACAGGGCCATATATTGCATACTGAGTGGAGCAGAGATCCCCCTCCAGTCCATGAGTCACCACACGGCTGTGGGTTTTGCCAGCACAGTGCCTCGGTAAGAAATCTTAGACTCATGAGTGAGAATTTATGGTGCAGCTTCTGTAAATCAAGGGATAGTAAAAGTAAAGCTCTCAGGGTGTAGGGGAAGTATTCAAAACTTCTTTGAAGATTCAAGGTCTTAGGGCCAGGCATAGTGGCACGCACCTGTAATCCCAGCACTTGGGAGTCTGAGGCAAGAGGATTGATGGGAGTTCAAGGCTAACCTGGACTGTGAAGTGAGTTCAAAGTCAGCCAGAACTACATAGCAAGGTCTTGTCTCAACACCCCCTCTAAAAAAAAAAAAATTCAAAAAAGTCTTATTGGGAGCCTCCCTGCCCCATAAACACATGATGGAAGCCACTTGTTGACTAGATAAGCAACACTTGGCATCTCCAAACAAATATCTTTTTTTGTTTCTGCCTAAGCCCTCTATCAAAAAGAAATAATTTTCTTTTTTTTTTTTTTTGCTTCTCCATCTATCTTTAGTGGGTTTTTTGTTGTTGTTGTTTTTTTTTTTGGTACCCGGGATCGAACTCGGGTCCTTCTGCTTGCAAGGCAGGTGGCAAAACCACTGAGCTAAATCCCTGGCCCCCATCTATCTTTAGTTTTCAGGTTGCATAAAATGTAGAGGCTATACCATGCATATGTAAGTGTGGTCTTAATAGTATTCACAGAAATACTGTAGATTGTCATAATTAGAAGGGACTTTTTTTTTTGGTACCAGGGATTGAACTCGGGTCCTTGCGCTTGCGCAGGAGGTGGCAAAACCACTGAGCTACATCCCCGGCCCAATTAGAAGAGACTTTAACAGTCATTTGACTCCTGTCACACTTAAATTTGTTTTTTTATAAATTTCATTTTATTTTATTCTATTCCCCCTCAATATTTGAATGCCTTTATGAATCCCCTGTAACTGCATATCCAACCTGTTTAAACCCTTTTAGTGGTAGAGACCATACAGTTATATCAGTAAAAAGTTCTTAAAGCACATGTTCTTTGCCAGACTTGCTTTCTGGGGTACAGACAAGTATAAGCCACTGTTATACCATCTCCACTGCCCATCTTGGAACAGGCAGAGAAGAGCAGTGCAGCTGTTTGCAACAGAGTACTGTGTACTGGTGTATGCCGAGTATCCCGAGAATATACAGATTTCTGTGGACTTTTGCCCTCAGAATGTGAAGAGGTGTTCTGTGACTGTTAAGACCAGGTGTCCACTGCCCTCTTTTTTTGTTGTTGTTTTGTTTTGTTTTTTGAGACATAGTCTCACTATGTAGTTTAGGCTGGCCATGGACTCACTATGTAGCCCAGGCTGGCCTTGAACTTACACCAATCCTGCCTCAGCCTCCCCAGTATTGGGATTACAAACATGAGCCACTACACCCAGTTTCACTGACCATATTTCTAAACCAAGTACCATAGGTGAGCATATGGTTAGACATATGTCTTTTTCTGATGTGTGGAAATGCATAGAGGGGTCTCACAGAT